ATGGTGCGCACAACGGCAAAAATGTCATGCTATTGAAATCGATATTGTCATTTTTGTCACCACTGCCTAACAACACCACAAGTACATTATATACTGTAGCAATAGCAAAGAAGTCACCTACAACTTCCATCCAATGCTCCTCGTTACAAGGCCCCCCATCCCATCTTATCCGATCGAGTGCTCTGTCGGTTTCATAGTAAAACACAGGATCGTACAACTGTCTGTTGGCTGCAATCTCATTTGTAATGTTCCTTCTTACCACTGGCCACCTCAACTGGTTCATGTGCATGTAACTCGCAACCACCCGAAATCCGCAGTTCCCATCCGGCGTTACATCCAGATAGCTCTCTACGTAAGGGTGGATTACGTAGGGAATTCTCCAATAATGCGGATATTCGTAGAAAACCGTCGAGAAAGTATCTGTAATATCATAATAATTTCACGTCACAAATTAGATAATCGAACTTACAAACATAATTAGTTATCGTTCAACATAAACAAATAAATAAGAAAAAAAAATCACCTGTCGGCTCATCTGAATGTTGAGAAGATGAGCTTGTCGGTGCCCACGAAGAACTGTTGTTACGCCCCGCCGGACGACCTCTTTCCCTGTAATCCCATACCGATGGAGCACACGAAAAGTGCTTTTACGCCCCACCCGGCGACCTGTTTCGGTGTACTCCGATTGCGATGGAGCACACGAGGAAGTGCTTTTACGGCGTCTTTGACTGTACTCCCATTTCGATAGATCGCGCTTTGTTGAATTGGGCTTCTTGGGCCGACCTCTCGGATTATCCTTCACTTCAGGTTCTTTGTAACCTTGTTGGTCGGGGTGAAGTTGCGAGTCGATGAACTGATTCACGTACCGCAGCGTCGCGGGATCGGCCACTTCAAGCTCCGCAGCAAGGCGATAAAAATAGTCACGACCAGTCCATCCGCTCGCCGGTGCACTCTGTTGACCTGTCCGCAAAAATAATTTATAAAATTAAACAACACACTCTATAAATTAATCAATCTCTTAATTGTACCTGGGTCCGTCAGCTCTAGTGTGCACCAGAACCTGTGGATGAATTGGGTAGTAATTTCCATATCTGCAGTGAGTGTCTTCCTTAGCTCACAGGCACAAGGAAGTCCATGAGTGTACCAGAGTACACACCCGCAGCGATCGGCAACTTCTTCGCTCAACTCTCGCATCCTCTTAAGCTCATTATTCAATAAATCCATACAGTAATGCGAGACCCGCAATCTCAACGGCGCGAAAATGGGTTCCTTGTAACCCGTATTCATGTTAAGTCTCGAAGACTCCAGCGTGACCCTGGTAATACATTACATAACATTAGAACCAAATAAATAACGTAATAATAACACAGTAAATATGTATAACCTACGGAATATACCTGACTTGAGTCATTTGAGACTCAACCTCCTTATGAATCTTCTCCCCACACCGTGTCGAGCGAACCGGTCGACGTGTTCAACCACCGCTTCAACGTAGCGTGGGCACTCTCCACCCTACACGACGTTGTGTTGCCGAAATGTAAAAAAGTGTTCGTCCACACTTTCACAAACTTCTCCTTGTGGACTAACCATGTCTGCTCCACATAGCGTAGCACGTCAGTAAATTGTATGTATGTAGCCTTCAAATCATCTACGGCAGTTTGGTATTTCTCCAACGTGCTCGCCTCGACAACCTTCTTCATCTTGCCGTGCGTAAACTTCTGAGCGAAGAGCTTATTATTTTTTGCTATTCGATACACCCTGTCTTCCACATCCTTGTTGATGTGCCACGTGCAAAGTAAGTGGGCCGACTGAGGGAAATTCATCCGAATAGGATTAGTCAAACCCAACTCTCTGTCAGTGACAATGGCTGTAGGATGTACATCAGAAGGTAACAGAAGTCTCAACCGCTGTAGGACCCAATTATAGCTGTACTCGGTCTCGTCCTTCATAATTGCATAGGCAATTAAGAAGTTCTTATTGCACGGCGTCATTCCAATCATTTCCACCAATGGCATCTTGTACCTGTAAAAATGAAAGCAACATAGAATCAAAAAACCTATTCAAACATACTAACAATATTCGCATTAAATTGATATTTATAAAGTAACATAACATACCTGTTGGTTTTGTACGTGGAGTCTATACCGACATACCAGTAATATGTCCGGAACAGACAGGCTGATTGAGGATGCGACATGAAGACACGTGTCAATGCCTGTGTGTCCGGATCAACATCTACGTAATATATATAGTTGTTGGCCTT